CTCCTCCCCCCCCCCCGACCTCCCGTGCTATTAGTGCTCCTCACCATGACCACTTAAGAGACAACTATCAGTTCTCTGGACTCGTTATTATATGAGCCCTGCTCTGCACTTGGAAAAGGTGAGCAGGAGGCCTTAATGGAGTTTGACTTCTGATACTCAAACATAAAAAAATGCTAGAGAGCCCTGGATTGGGGAGGGGGAGGGTCTGACATGGGAAAAGTAGGGGCTGGCACCGCTGTGACTGCCACACAATAAAGCGGTGATTTCGATTTTGAGCATCTTTTTCCTGGTACACAGAGAAAAACCCATTTTATAATGAAAGTCCAGTTCCTGGCCTTTCACACATTTTTTTTTTTTTGGATGCTTTAAGTCCCAAACTGAAGGAAAGGAGGCTTTGGTGACTGAATCAGGGATGAATTTACACCTGAGAAGTTTTGGGAAGAGATCACCTTGCAAGGCTCTTCCTGGATCAGAGTGATTAGGCTTCCTGTATCCTGATTCCTGAGAGTTTTGTGCTGGTCTTTCCTCCAACCCTGGCTGTGTTCTCTGCTCCAAAACTACTCTAGATTCTCTGAACTATGAGCTTGAAGGGTGGGATGGTGTCAGACCTTGGGTGGAGGCCAAAGACAGCACAGAATAAACTGCCTTTTCCTAATGACCCCATCTGCAGGGTTTCTGAGATTGACAATACCTGTAGTGGCCACAGCCAATAGCTAAACAACCCAGCTGGTTTGCCCTTGGGGAGTGCAGTTAGTTGTTCCTAGGCACTTTAAGGATTGCCCACTCTAGCTATTTTCCTCCCACTTCCAGGCCTCCCCCGCCCTCCTGGCCCCTTTCTGGCTTCCTGCCTCTGCAAAGGCAAAAGCCTGTTCCTTTTCTGAAAGATTGGTCCTATTTAGCCCTCAACCCCCAGGGAGCTTAGGAAAACTGAGCAGGAATTAAGGCTAAGGAATACAGCACAAATACTTCCCCCCATCCTGACAACCAGACTGATGTCCCTTAAGTTACACAAAGTTCTAGGTTCCTCACTACACATAGAAACTGTCCAAGATTTGAAAACAACAAAAAACCGTAAATTACCTGCCGAGAGACCCAGTTTACTGGGTTAACCTTTAGAGCAGAAGTGTGTGTTGGGAGGGATGGGAGGGTGGTTCTCCCTTGCTATAGTTGACCTCCGTCTTGCTCTTTGTGTTTTACAATTTTAAACATTTCACTCAATTCAGATTTGTCTTTTCTGGAAATAATCTATGGATCTGTCATTCGGGGCTCACAAACAGTCATGGCAATCATAGCTTGCCCCCTTTAGCAAGGTCCCAAAACATGATGACTTGCATACCAGCTGCCACATGGGATTATTGTGAGGATAAAAGGAGAGATGGGATGGTATATGGGAAATGATTTTTAAGCCAGGGCTTAAAATTAGAAGGTGGGGAGGGTAGAGAGCTGGCCACTTAGTTCAGTTGGTTAGAGCATAGTGCTAATAACACCAAGGTCCAGGGATCAATCTCTACTGGCCAGCCACAGGGGAAAAAATAAAGGTGGAGGAGGAGGGTGGAGCAGAGCAGTATTAGGTGGAGCAGAAGTGCTTATGCTTGGGGTGAGGAGAATAACTCCTGAGAATCACATAATGTCCAAGCTAGAAGAAAACATCATGTGGTCCACTGTTCCCAAGTGGGATATGTCACCTCCCACAATGCCTTCCAGGAAGAAGAGTTCTTAGGGAGTTGTCCCTCATCACCTCCCCAACATGTAGAGTAGTCTATGGACCATTCACATCAAGATCATCTGTTTAAAACCTGGATTCCTGGGGCCAGCTCCCGATCTATGAATCAGAATCTCCGGGACCAAGGAACCTGCATTTTGACAAAGCACCTCTAGTCATTCCCATGCAAAGGTATTTAAAAAACATTGCCTTGGGCCGGCCCGTGGCTCACTCAGGAGAGTGTGGTGCTGATAACACCAAGGCCACGGGTTCGGATCCCTATATAGGGATGGCCGGTTAGCTCAATGGCTGGGCATGGTGCTGACAACACCAAGCCAAGGGCTGAGATCCCCTTACCGGTCATCGTTTGAAAACAAAACCAAAAAAAAAAAAAAAAAAACCCATTGCCTTAAGTAGTAGAACAAAAGTCTATTAAGTATGTGTCATTTGAAAAAAGCCCTCAGTGTGATTTTCATGCAACCCACCAGGAAGGGGGAGCAAACTCTCCAGGAGAATCATGGATCTGGGCTGGCTGGGTAGCTCAGTTGGTTAGAACATGGTGTTATAACACCAAGGTCAAGGGTTTGGATCCATATACCACCCAGCTGCTAAAAATAAATAAATAAATAAAAAAGCATTAATCTAATACTTTCAATTTATAGCTACGGGAAATAAGGTCCAGAAGATAGAAATAATAACATTTATTGAGTACTAACTGTATGCCAGACATTGTAATAAGCAGAAGCTTTAATGTTGCCTAATTTCATCTCAACTTCATGAGTAACTACTATTATTAACCTAATTTTACAACTGAGGAAACAAGCACAGAGAGGCCAAGTAACTTAATCAAGGTTGTATTCAGATCCAAGAACTTACATTCTTGACCTTTACTAGTCATTGTTTCTTCTGCTGCACTGTAGAAGCTAAGCAGAGACCACCACTCACTACTTGTTGGGCTATATGTCGTGTCTGGGCCTCACCTTCCTAATCCATAAAATGTGTTGGGGGAGGAGGGGGTGACACAGTAAATGATTTCTAAGACACTAAACACCTCTGACACTGAATAGTCAGTGCTTTGGTTATTTACCCTCTGACTACATTCTCCAGATGGGTTCAAACTGCAAAAGATTTGGCATCTTCTTTCAGAATATCTCTACCGTTTCTCATTTCCACCTCTGACTCCACTTTGGATTCGTAGAGCACTGGAATCCAGAATCAAGTGTATTTTAATCTGTGTAATACCTCAGGGTCCAGGGCTGGCCGTGGCTCACTTGGGAGAGTGTGGTGCTGATAACACCAAGGCCACGGGCTCAGATCCCTATATAGGGATGTCTGGTTGGCTCACTTGGGAGAGTGTGGTGCTGACAACACCAAGTCAAGGGTTAAGATCCCCTTACTGGTCATCTTTAAAAAAAAAAAAAAAAACACTTCAGGGTCCTTGGGTGGGAGGATGGGGTGCAGAGCAACACGTGGGTGTTGATTAGCTGCGAAACCAGCACCAACTGTCTTTGAAATAGTTTAGAAAAGGAGGGGGTGTTAAAAATTAGATTAATGGGTGGTGGGGCTGGGTTTGCATTAACCATTCCCAGCACTATCCCTGGGGAAGTCCCGTACCTGGTATTCAACAGCCAGCCCCTGCAACGGGTGGTGTTGGCTGGCAGGTGACAAACACAAAAATGTTTTTGAAGAGGCCATTGCTCACACTTCACTGGCACAACAGGTCTTTAGCCCCTTTGGTATTCACTGCTCCTTTTTAGGTCTAATTTGAGAAACTGCCTCAAATTGGAATCCAGCACCTAGAGAATACTGGTATGTTCAGACTACGCTTTAGAGACCAGGTTAACTTTACAAGACCCCTGGGTTGGGGACCCTTCTTATTCTCCGTGGCTCAGAGGGAGAAAGTTGGGGGGGTGCGGGCAGGGTGTGACTCTATTAGGAAACGAATTCAAGGGTTTACTCTGCACTCTCTGCCTACTCAGCTATGGGTTCCCGGAAGAAAGGTGTTGTGGCGTATTTAAGAAGACTTCGTCCACCCCCTTCAGTCCCCTGGAGGCAAACAACATTCTTCACGCCCCTTGTCCCAGCAGCTTAACTCCCACCAAGGAGATACAAAGAATCCAGATCCCAAACTACCCCTTCTTTGCCATCCTCTGGCTGTGATACCTCTTCTGGGAGGACCGGACAGTCGCTGAGGCGGACGATCGGACACATTCCGCAGACCCTGCTTCCTTCTCCGCCTTGGCGGATGCGCAGCAGTCAGACCCGGGAGGGCCCGCCTCCCGCCGCAGCACCTCCCGCCCCCCCTCCGACACTTCCGACCTGGATCACCGCCCCCGCCTCCTGCTCGGCGTCTCCCCCACCTCCTGCTGGCAGGGCGCGGTGTGGCGCGGC